GTGTGTGTGTGTGTGTGTGTCTGTGTGTGTGTGTCTGTCTGTCTGTCTCAGCAGTGATTGGTTGTTGTGGTGTTTTTGTTTTTCAGTGTCCTGCAGATGCCCCTCCTCCGTCCAGACTCTCTCTTCCTTATAAAGTCATGAAGTCTCTGGACGGAGACGTGTACAGAAACCTGGAGTTTGACGTGTGGCAGGACACCTGCAAAGGTAACGCATGCACACACAGACATGCACGTGACACACACACATCATACACTGACGAGTGGACAACCTTTTAATACGTGCAAAGACAGACAGTTTGATTGTGTCAAAACAAAGTAGAAGTATCGTGCTGTGGTTATTTTCCTCCACTAATCAGAGCAGTTTCAGTCTACATACATGAGGTTATTGTGACCTTTGACCACTGAAATCTAACCAGTTCATCTGTTATGTCCGTGGCACACTGGACACGGAACGGTTGTTTTCATTTCCGCACCAATGTTAACGGATGAGTTCTGCATTTTCAAGGCAGTAGAGGATCCGCTGACAAACCCAATCCGTTGTGACAGGCACACAACCGCAACACGCAGTAGCACAGCGTCGCTGCCTTTCCCCATCCAGTGCCCCGAGCGTGTGATGGTGCGTTCTCACAAAACGTGAAGCTAATATATAGCACCGTGATACTACATTCAGAGTAAATCAAAGTAAAGACGTGAAATTTGCTTCACTTGCTCGAAGTGAAATGTTTGTGTGACACAATGTTGTGAAAGCTAAGCAGTGTTGAGAATGAAACTCACCCGGCTGAGCTTCTGGCACCGACCTGAGCGAGCGGGTGATCAAATTGCTGGTCATCCCCGTTAAAGCTGCAGATGACATCATTGAGGAGCAGCTCCTGGAGGAGACAGGGAAATTCTTCATGCTGTGCATCACTCACACATGATGACGTGGGTTTCTCTGGTGTTTCCACAGCAGGAACAAAGCGGCAGGTGCAGCCACTTCCATCATCCTCATCTCAGGTCTACTCAATTCATCTTTGAGTTCAACTGAACGTTTGAACCAATAAAAAAAATTACCTGGAGGCGTGAACGAGATAACGTGTTCTCAAGAACTAGATGAACAAACTGGAAACATGACACCTCTGGCCACTAGGTGTCACTGCTGCCGAGACATAAAAACAAAATTCATACTGTGGATGAATGATGAAGTCATCATGTGACTCACTGAGACTGATCTGTCGTCTACGTCATAATTAATTATCTCAGTAATCAGACTGCATTCGCCTGAATGATGCTATAGTAATCAGATTACTGTGCTTTGTGACTGACAGAGATGCAGAAGACGGATTACATGGTGTTCGCTGGTAGGCAGTACTTCCTGGGAGACAAGTGTCAGGTGAGCAAACACACACACCCAGCTGTGATAAAATGAAGCTTCATGTGTCAGCAGCATCAATTCTGTTGAATCATGTTGTCACCAGATTGTGTGTGTGTGTGTGTGTGTGTGTGTGTGTGTGTGTGTGTGTGTGTGTGTGTGTGTGTGTGTGTGTGTGTTTGTGTGTGTGTTTGTTTCAGGTGCGTCTGGAGCCAAAGGGGAAATACTATAACGCCTTCATCCAGGAAGTAGGAACACATTCGTCAGCTGTCACCGTGTTCATCGAGGAGCTGGGAGAAAAGTAAAAAACTTTAATCTGACGACTCCACATTTAGTCTGAACCAAGTATCCGGTGTGAAAGGTGCCTCCAGACGTCAGACACACGCTGTCTACAAACCAATCAGAGTCAAGTATAGGTAGACTCCGCCCACGTAGGTGATGACAACAGGACACAAGTATGTCAGACAAAATTCTTTTGTCCCTGAATTAGAATGTGAAACCAAAACTAACAGATCAAATGAATCTATGAACAAACATGAAGCTTGGCTCAGACTCTCAGTGAGAAACATTACATTTAACGTAAAGAAGAAGAGACAGAGTCCAGCAGGAGACAAGTCCTGAGGTCAAACAATTGTGCTGTCTCTCTGTCTCAGACACCTGGTTCCTCTGACGGATCTGAAACCAGTGAATCCAGTTCCTGCCTGGAATGTTGCTGCTCCAACTAGAAAAGGTGATCTGGGTAAGTTTACATTATTCTACGACCTATGGCAACAACCTCCTGACCCGACGGTGACGACACTGTTTCTGTCTCGCACAGACTTGGACTCTCGTGGGCAGCGTCATCATCGTCACCGTTACTTCAGGAAGTCTCGTGGCAGCAGTGGCATGAAGGGTGCAGAGCTGCTGATAGCTCCGGCCCCTTTATATGGAGGCCCCGCCCCATCCACCCTGCCCCCTCGCTTCCAGCCGGCAGGTCACCCCCGCCCACCCCCTCCTCCCTCAACTGGAACGATGACCTATGATCCCTACGCCCCCCCACACCACCACCATCACCCTACAGCCAGAGCTCCTCGCTACGGCGCCTCCAGGTGGGAACTGATACTTGTCGAGTGTAGTTGATCACATTCACACCTGCTGATGAAGAGATTATTGATTATTACACTGTGTGTGATCAGACTGATTATAATCTGATTACCTGAACACAGGTTAACGTCAGGTGTGAACATGTGACACAGTAATGTGCCAGATGTTGACGGAGCTGTTACCGATAACCTACTCTGATACTGAGGAACTCCTGTGTATGTGTGTGTGTGTGCGCGCGTGTGTGTGCGTGCGTGCATGTGTGTCATGGATTGTGGTCAGAAGCTCAACCCGTTTCCTCAACCGTCACCTGATTGGCCCACAGCTGACCTATTACCACCCTGGAAGACGATATTACCATGACTATGAGAACTACGCCTTCAGGTCCCGGTAAATTGCGACATCATCATCTCGCTGAAATTAAAAGATTAGTCACACACACACTCAAGACTATTCCAGGTGATGACATGTATAATATAACAGCTCTATGTAGAAACAGGAAACGTGACTGTAGCGCCCCCCCCCAGTGGTCGATCAGTGTCTTGCTGTGTTCAGTCGTAGCCGTCGTCAGCTGGTTGCTGCTCTCAATAAAGATTGTCAATTTGGTTACCCTGCGGAGACGGGGGAGGAGTCAGCTGATCTGGACACGGCCATCACGTACTACCAGCTGGACGACGCCAGCGACGCCGTCTTCCCGCCGCTGCCGGTGAGAAGAGCACATTACACAGAAATGTCACAGTGCGATTACATTTGGATTCACTCTGACTCCTCCCACAGGGCACTGCTGTGGCCCCTCCCCCTCCACCTGGCTCCACCTATCGAGTTCAGAGAGCCTCTGGACCCCTCCCCCCTGCACATCGACCTGGAAACACCCCTGTGTGCTCATCAGAGGATGAGCAGGAGGACACGAGCACTGTGGAGGACCACGGTGAGGACCACACGGAGTGACTGTTTGTCTCTGACTCTTTCTTTGTCCCTGACTTTTTGTCTCTTTGTCTCTCAGCTGAGTTCTCAGAGGATTTCATCTTCAGCGCTCAGGGTGAGTCTTGTTGTGAGTCTTGCGAGTCGAGGTCTGAACTACGAAGCAGGATTTGCGGTTATCTGGTTTACTTCAGAGTTTTCAGTTTTACGAAGCTAGTTCCCTTCTTAGAGTAAATCACCATGGTAACTTATGCTGAACAGCTGACCTGCTCCAGGTAAAGTTGGAGATAAGAGATCAAACAGTATAAAAGCTCCGCCCACTGACCACTCCCTTCCCTTGAACCATGACATCATGTTGTTATCGTGGAGCTGCTGTGGATCGTTCCAGTCTCTGAGGAGGACCAGGGTCTTCAGAGACCCACAAGATCCTTTGAGATTCTCTGAGGAGTTTCTGAAAGATCTAGATTCTCCTCAGAGGATGAACCGTTGTCAGCTGCTGGAGCTTCAACAGAACCAACCTGACCCTTAGGAGCAAAGTACTCACAGTACCACAGACTGTCTACATGTACTTCACTTACTGATACTGAT